CAAAAAAACTTGGAACTATTAATAAATTCCAAAATTAAAAAGAATATAAAATTTGGCATTTCTTAAATATTCTAAGCTAAACAAAACTTTCAAAACTTGTAACTACTAACAAACTAAGTCAGGAATGACTTGACATTCTTCAGTAATGTAATATGCCAAACAAAATAATGCGTGGAAATGTTGATAGTATGATTCGATACAATCATGTTGGGAAAATGCAAAAATCTGTTCTTGAATATCTTTTAACAACTTTTTTTCTAATTTATGCCCAAAAATGAATTAATTTTAAATCATAAGCAGTTTAACTCAAATTAAAATACAGTTTTATCAAAACTATGGGTTTTGGACAGTTTCTGACATGACGGTAAAAACCATAGTATAAACCGGTAAAAACCGTCATGTGTCAAAAACTTGCCAACCCTGATTATACAATTCTAAAAAAATTAACAATAACTGCAAAGAAAATTGAATCAATTTGGCGCAAATTGAGCATGTCAAAAGCAATTACACAAATATGTATTACGAATTTCCTTTCTCCAAATAATGAAAACATCAGGATTTAAGAAAATCACAGATATCAGCAGCAATAACTGAAAAAATTGATTGAAAAAAGAAAAAAAACAGTGCTATCGTCTTGTGAAATATTGACTAATAAACATTTCAACTGAATGTTGTCTCATAATAATGCATAAATATAATAGAAATTTTAAAATTTTTTGTAACACTAGCCTATATAACGACCGAAATGGCTCATGGATTTATGATGCTATTGACTAATACCAAAAATTGTGGTAAATGGTATCGAATGAAATTTTAAAAACCATGAATTCTATTGCATTAACTGCAAAAGGGGGAACAGAACCAAAACACGGATTTACAATGACATTGAGAGCAGCGAAAAATGATACTGAAATGTGCAATGCGAATTTTTCTTGTAATGCAGGGTACGCACTTTAAAAAACATGGTACTAGTACCATAAAGTACTGGTAAAAACTAATATCATTGCATATAAGCTGTTACATAATATTGTACAGAATTGATTCATACCTCTGCTACAGCTTGGTGACTCCTCACTGGTTTCAATTGATTAACACCATGGTTCTTGGGTTTACCATAAGTGCATCCCTTGGGAACTTGCTTCTTTCGGCCTCCTCTACGAATTCTAATTCGATAGACAACATAACCTAGAAGATAAAGAATACAGTACTTAATTCTGTTAAAAGCAGACTTCACAAGAATAGATAAAACATTCAAATATCCCTAAAATATGACACTTTGTCTAGTTAACATCAGTTAAATAAAATATCTTTCAAAACTTTACAAAAGACTCAATAACTTAAAAAAATTAAGGTACTTAACTTAATATGCAATTTTTATATAACTGCTATTAAGAAAGTTAAAAACCCAACTGATTTGGTCAGCAGTAGTTTGATCAATTAGATTAGTTAAGATCTAGAAGTCTTCCTAATGCATGATTATAACTAGGTATCTTCTAGATCAAATAGCATAATAATAAAATCAATAAGTCTTTCTACGAAATAGTAAGAATCAACAGGCCTGCAAGTATTAGACACTGTCTTGTACAGAAATTAAAAACAAACAAAATTCAGCTTAGAGAACTTATAAATGGTTCATGAAAAAATATTAATATTAAATCACTTTGATGATAAAGATATTACTTATGTTAGATTAACTGCTATCAAATTAGCATAAAACATTGCTCATGATATAACTATCTTACATTGCTCATGATATAACTATCTTTGTAAATGAAAAGCTGCAATGTAACTCAGAGTAGTAAAAGCCATAATCATTTTAATCAGATGGCACTTTCTATCAAATAGGCTCATCATGCAAAATAGAAAAATACCAGTTACAAACTAAATACTATATATAATTGCTATTAATATTTAAATACTATAAATACATAATATTAATACCTCAAATAGTTGTAACATATATATAAAATAAGAAATAAGGAGAAAAGTTGACATTAAAAATAAAACAAATATCAGAGTGAAAGTCATAATCATTTAATTCAGATGGCACTTTCTATCAAATAGGCTCATCACAAAAATTGAACAGTTGAAAATTACACATCATGAAACAGTACAGATTGATTTAAAATTGTGTTTATTGACTAATACAATTCTAGTTTGAAACAAAACCAGAGAACTTTCACAAAAGAAATAAAAAAGCATTTAATAAGATTCCAAACAAGGACATATTTACAAAAACCAGCAAAATAATTGTTTCATGGTTGGGAAACTTGAAATCATTAATACTTCAAGTACTATGATAATGATTTTGGTATAGGCTAAAATATATTTGTTATATAAATAAGACAATAACAAAAACTATAATTTTAGCCATAACTTTTAAATAGCTTTGATAAAAATTTAAGATTTAATTATGAACAAAATAAAAATGTTATACGATTTCAGCAAAATAGCTACTAAATACAAAGAAAAATTAAAATAATTTTAAAATTAAACACAAAAATCTAATACTGGTAATCACATAACATGTTTTTTTTTTCTTTTGGTAAACTAAGACTGATTGCCAAATTATTTTCTTTGGCAACTATGTATGATGTTTCAACCTTATCAACAAGAAACTATTTCATTAGCCCTCATAAACTTGACTATTAACTTTAAATTGTAAATTATATCTCATGTTTGTAAAAACATCATTCTTTATCTCCAATACTATATTATATATTAAAATTAGTTTAAAAATTCTCAACTTTGAAATGCCAGAAATACTTACAGAAGTTTACAGAAACAGTAAAAGCCCTACACTAGTAATAAATCAAACCAAGATCTAATTGTTTCATGGTTGGGAAACTTGAAATTAAAGTGCACTTCAAGTACTATGATAATGATTTTAATATAGGCTAAAATATTACTGATATAGAAAACAACTCCATAACAAATATTATAATTTAGCCATATATACTTCTGAGCAATCTATTTCATTGAATGGTACACTCAACTTAAGAAAACAATACTAAGGTGATCATCAAGATAAATATTGATAAGATAATTATGGCTCATTTAAACAACTCCGGTTAGCAGGGTTGCCACTCAAATCTGTAAAAAAAATCCCTGTCTTCTTCCCTGTGCATACTATACACAATATATTAAGAGGAAACAACAATTACTGTGCTCCTGTGTGAGATATATTGGGCTAACTATATTTATCAGTTTTAATTGCTAGAAAAACAGCTGAATATAATGATATAGTAAATGAAATAGTTTAGTATAGCTGAAATATCATGGTTAAATATCCCACAGGTCACCATTTTTTAAAAAGACAAAGAGAAGAAATTCCTGTATTTTCCCCGTTTGTAAAAAAAAAAAATCAAAGTTCCCTGCCTTTTCCAAGCTATTTTAGGTGATTATTAAATTCCTTGTATTTCCAGGTTTTCCCTCCGGAGTGGCAACCTTGTACAGCAGAGTTTACCTAAGTGTAGTACGCGTACCCCCAGGGGTACGGGAACAGTTTAGCGGGAGTATGCATTCTTATGCAAAACATCTTCAACTAACAAAATTTTAATTTTTAAAAAAAAAAAAATAAAAAAAGCTAGCCATGAAAACTCAGAATTTTGATTTTTTTTATTGGCTAATTTTTGCTGAGTCATCAGTTAATAATTAGTGGTATCAACAGCCAGTTGTGATTTGTAATTTTAGTGCAATTTTTTTATAGTAAAAAATACATTCATTTTTTTTTTTATTAGTGGTACACAGCACTACGAAAAATTTAGAAAGGGTACACAAGTCACAAATTTGGGAAACACTGCTGTAGGAGTATAATAGAGGGGTTCATTTGAACAGATTTCCCTGTTCAAATGAACAGGGAAATCTGTTCAATGAATGTTTCCCTGTTCGAATGAAATGAATTTTTTGTGTTTCGTAGTTTCCCTACGAAACACAAAAAAGTTAATATATTTAAAAATTATAGTAATGGAAAGAGCATTGTTATACAGAATTAAACCATTACTTAATTTTAATTTTACACACAACAAACATTTTCCCCATAAATTATAATCAGATTCTCATGCCAATAATAACCTGACACAAGGTTAAAAAGAAATAAACTTTCTTACATATAAAGAAAAGAATAATTTTTTTAAGAACATAAAAATCATTTGCTTGATGTTAATAAAACTTGATATAATGTTAATTTCTAGAACTGTAATAATCCTTAATTACACCTTGATAGCATAGAGAATTAAGTATAATATAGGAAACGAATTAAGTAAGCAAATATAATTTAAACTTAGCTTGTTCAGTTTAATAAATATATAAAATCTAAATAAAATATAATTGAATATAATTAATCAACACCACTTTTTACCTTGTTTTGCTCGGTACCCTAACCTTCTTGCCTTATCTGGCCTTGTTGGTCTTGGAGCTCTATGTACAGCATTCAGTTGTCGGAAGTACCAGCACCTTGTTCTCAATAAAAACTTCAATACATCAGACTGCTTTTTTCTCCAGATCTCTTGCATATATTTATACGCCCCCATGTTTAGTTTAATGGACCCCTACCTAAATATTAAAAAAACATTTATAAGTCATGTAAAAAGAACTGAGGCTATTAACTTATTGATAAAATATTTTCATTTGTTGGTACGAGGTACAGAAATGGAAAAGTTTAAATACAAGATTGCATATAAGCAAGGAAATTAAATATAACAAGTATACAGGGAAAATTTAAAATCAAAACTAGATTATTATAATTATTTATGAAGCTTGCTTAAAATATTAAAAAAAAAAAATAGCATAAATCAATTCATTAAATGCAAATTAGATTAATATTAAATAAACCTAAATATAAATTAAAATAATTGGAATCATTAGTAATTGTTAATCACAATTTACTAAGGCAATCATAAAGCTTGTATACTAATATAGATCAATCAATGTAGAGACAATGTTTGAATATTAAAGTAATTATTAATTTTGCACCATTTGCGACTGATAA